GTAGGGGCGACTGGCTCAGTGGTAGAGCACCGTCCTTCAATCAGAGGGTCGGCGTTTCGAACCCCGGCTCCGCTAGTCGCATGTCGATGTGTCCTTGAGCAAGACACTTCACCCTAAATTGCTGCCTACGGTGTAGAAATGTGATAGACTCTGAATTGTAAGTCGCTTTGGATAAAAGCGTCTGCTAAATGAATGCTATGATTGGAGAACATATAACTTGACCAAACATCAAAATAAATGTCTTATCCATACAATTATTTATGGCATGGCTCCTTCCAGTTGGTTTGATAGGTAAAGAGTAACTACAAATCATATTACAAGAGGAAACTGCATCATCAGAAAATCTGCTTTCAGTCAATCTGCATTGTCAGTTAAAGCAGCACGGATATGTAGCTGATATGTAACCCTAACCCAACCCACATGAGGGAACTCACCACTTACAGCCTTTTCTTAAGAACGTGGCTTAAAAGGCACCAAATCTGTCCACAACAGTTTGGACACCTTCCTCCTTTTCAAATCATTCAGAGCGAGTCCAGAAGTTTAAGAATTGAACAGGATGCCTGGTTAGAAATCACCGTAGTGGTCCTCTACAGCTCTTTATTTAACTAAATGTGACAAAGATGGTTTTACTTCTGTAAGCTTTGCTTTTGCCTGTCAGCACATACGATTATTTGTATGAAATTTGAATGAGAGTTTATCATCAACCTAGATATTTATATTTGACTCAAATGCTCAATTTTAAAATGTAAAATATGACACAAAATAAATACATTATATAATGACAACCTATTTGTATTTGTAGTCAACATGTCTCATTTCTGATTGATTTTTCTCCCTTTTCATCTTTGATTTCTTCATAAAGCAATGCTTCACAGCGGAGCATAATAAACACATTTCTTGACTCAGTCCTCTGATTCTGGTCAATGTAAGAAAAAATAATTGGACATTTCGAGAGTACGGTCATACTATTTTGAGAAAAAGAGACATAAGGGTCTAGCAAATAAGTTATCATTTCAGAAAAGTTGTAAAGAAAAAAATTCACAATATTCTTTATTTAGTAAAAAAGAAATAGTTATTTTTTCTAGTCAAAATGGTTTTCCTCATAAGGACACAGCAGCTGTGGTGAAAACATTATTCTGCATCAGAAATGAAAGCCTTTCAAATATCACAGTGAGTACCATTATTGCTTTGTATTACAACAAAAGTCAACACATGATTACGAAAATAATTAAATTAAGCACATTAATGTGCACATCAATACTGTACTGACTGTTAATCACTGTAATAGATTTAAACATGGACACTGGACATAAGGGATGCAATTTCTATTGTAACTCATATATTTCCAATGAATTGGTCCAATAAACAATTAGTACACAACATTCCATAGTTTTGCTGTAAACATGGAAATGTTTGTTCACTGTTCCAAAAGTGCTGATTTGAATAGTGGTCAATATTATTGGTCCCCATGTCACTGCTTCAATCAGCCTGTGTCGAAAGGTATAAAGAGTGTCGAAAGGTTTAAAGAGTGTCCAAAGGTTTAGAGTGTCCAAAGGTTTAAAGAGTGTCCAAAGGTTTAGAGTGTCCAAAGGTTTAGAGTGTCCAAAGGTTTAGAGTGTCCAAAGGTTTAAAGAGTGTTCAAAAGTTTAGCAGGATGTGGAATATGAACTGAATACATTCCATCCTACCAGTTACTGCACAAATAATGCAATGTACAAGACAGTTTGTACTTCACAGGAAGCAACAGACTCGAGGGCACATTTGCTAAGAACACATTTGCTGTTGTTAGCCTAGCTTAGCATTAAGACTAAAAGCAGGGGGAAAGAGCGAGCCTGGCTCGGTCCAAAGTTCTAAAATACAACTGACACCTTTAAACATTTAAACACGTATGTCATTTGATTAATCTGTACACAAAGTTAAATGTATAAACAACAATAAAAATGACTTTAAGCTTTAAGAGAGTTCAATGCTGGAACTATATCTTGATTCTTGACAAACAGCTCTGCCCAGCACTTCTGTGCTGTGTCTTCTTTGGTTGTAGTTCTGGTCTCCATACAGACAAGATGGCTATGGAAACGTCTGGAAGACTTCAGGAAACCGAACACAGTCAGTGGACAAGGCCAGCTTCATACTCAAAGTCCCATTGAAACGGAAGGTAGAGCGTCTGTAGCTTCTGTACTGGGACGCATTTCAAAGAGAAACGGAATATTTGAGAGGTGTACATTTACAACAGAGTTCTAAATCAAATCCTTTTCATTTGATTGGAACACTACAAAGTGGGCGGGCTTAGAGGACTGTTTCTCCACACACATCTCCCTCAGCTGTTAGATCAGGAGGAGGATGAAGAAGAGATGAATCTTCATCCGGCTCTGTTTCACTGCAGCGATCAGTACATGCAGATGAACTTCCTCCCTCCGTGCTGCCAGCACCAGAAGACGTTCATCTGCATGTACTGTTGGTTGAAAAGCTGCAACATTTCTTTCGAATGAGTCAGATCTCAGCCACTTTGTTGTTGAAATGAAAACAACACTTTTGCCCACTGATATCCAAACGCATCTCGTCCTGTGTCTCCAAGAATGTTGCTCTCCTTAATGTTCCACATCACTGGAGGTAGCTGCTGACTTAGGCATTTGTAGGCTTCACAAGTGATGTAAGCTTTAATATTAGCTTGCTAACATGTGCTTACTGTGTTCACCTGTTACAACCCAACCACTGACATTAAGTGTCTGGCACCGCAGTAACTGAGGAGACAGAGTGTACAGCCAGTCAGGAGAGTCAGGTGACATTCTCGTCTGTCATTGGCTGAGAGTCAGAGGGAGCTGCCACACCAGCAGTGTGTTTTCAGTGGAGGCTGAGCAGGGGCCTGGTGAGGAGATCTGTCCTATCCTGCGGTGTCCTCTGCCACCGGAGAAGATGGCTGTTGAAGTGATTTTGTTGCGTCTGACCTCCCCCTCCTTCCCCCACTCCACAGGTCGCCCCCTTACCCACACATCAGGGTCCTCGCTCACTTCATAGATGGAGCCGTCCTCCGGGCTGTGCTCCAGGGAGTCTTGGGGGGGCCTGTGGTTCCCCTGTTCGGGATGGGCTGACAACAGCTTCCCAGGCAGCTGGCAGGTGGACCGGAGGCGATACTGGAGCAAGAGACGCTTGGGCTTCTCCTCCCTTGGTGGAGGAGCTTCTGAGTCCTGGGGGAGGCTGCTCTGCTCCCACCTCTGCCCCTCTTCATCTCTTCCTCCATCACCTTTACCTCCCTCTGCTTCTCTGTTGGTACCCTCCTCACTGCTGGTGAGGATGGAGTCCCGTCTGAGCAAGTGGGAGGCCAGGGTGCTGGAGGTGGACACCATGAAGTCCACCGGACCGCAGTGGGCATTCAGAGACGTCATCCCCTTACCTAAGGGTAGGACAGTTCTAAATGAATCCACGGTGTCTCACATGGCAATGACAAGAAGTAAATGATGTGTATCAACAAGATAAATATCAGAGTTATGTTACAATTTTCCAACCAGCCATTGCTGATGAATTCAAGCAGGTGTATGTGTGTGTGTGTGTGTGGGGAAAAGCAGTTCAAGGGGACATAACTTGTGGAGAGGTTTACAAAACAAAGTTTAAACCACAATGAGAAGGATTTTTTTTTTTAAACAATGTATAAACTGATACAAAAATAATCCCTCTCACTCATCTCTTCTGACACACTAGAAGTGTGTGGTGGTGTCTGTATCTGCAGAGATCCTGTCCTCAGTCTATATTTTCTTATTTTACTGTATCTGGGACGTTTCTGGGTGTCAGACTGTAAGCACAAAAATGGCTGACACAGTGGCGGCAACTAAACCTAAAGCTAGTGCCATGTGGACAAAGCTTGTTCCAAAACGAGAAACGAGAGTGAATCTGGAGCTGGCTTTCACCAGCTGGAGGAGGGGCCAACTCTGAATGTTGTGTTTACAATCTGACAAATCCTACTTAATGTGCCTTTAATATCAAAATCCTCACTGAGACCAGTGGGAGACGGAGTATTAAGGAGACAAATCCAGAGAATGTATCTCAGAGCACACACATTAAGCGTCAAAATGTTGCCTTTTTTCAATCCAATACACTTTTGTTAATCCAGTGTCAAGATGCTAATAAATGACCAGATTAGTTATATAATGTTATATTAGTTGTCAGTAGTGGACAAAGGGCAAATGTTAACATGGCATTACATGTTACTGCTCAAGCTGAGAGATTACATGGGTAGTGACGAAAGCTGGCTTCAGGTTCTCCTGTGAAATATATGTCAATTTTTAAGCTTCTCAAAATTTAACCCAAATACATGGTCTTCCAACCTGGTCTCACTCCCAACTTCTCAATAATCGATGGCTGGTCAGTCCGATGCACCACGCTTCACTGAAATGGTATAAAGAGCGAGATAGTCCAGGGACAGATGAAAGGGGGGTGAATGAGTAAAAAAAAAAAAAAAAAAAAAAAAAAAAAAAAAAGTTGTGTTGGTGTCCCGTGCAAAACAAAAAGTAACCGTTGACCAGGCAGCAACCTCCGGTTCTGCCGAGTGAAGCCAATGCTTGATGTGTTAAAGCTGCATTCTCTCTACTGTCCACCAGGGTGCGACTCCTCTGGTTGTATAGAAGTCTATGAGAAAATGACTCTACTTCTCTCTTGATTTATTACCTCAGTAAACATTGTAAACATGAGTTTATGGTGTCAATCTCTAGTTTCAAGTCTTCTTCAATACAGCATGATGTTCATTTAGTACATTATGGTCCATTTAGAGTCAAACAGACCATAAAGCAGGGGATGCTTTAGGGCGGGACTACACAGTGATTGACAGGTCGCTGCTGCTACCAGAGTCGTACGCGGCGTTTCTCCAGTGTGGTTAGTCCTGTGAGTCACGTAAGTTGTTGGTGACGTGACTCATTAGTCAGTCAAGTTAACGTCAACCAGGCTCTTTTCCATAATCAAAGTGGTTTTGTTGCTTAAATCTAACTTTGTTTGAATAACAAGTTTATTTTGAAAAGACACTATTCCTAAAACAAGTGGAACAAATACAAGTCCAAAACTGATGCTACTGGGTAGATCGTTGTCGATCCGTGGTTCGGCAAGTATGTGAACCGGATTAATTACAGTGTGAAATAAAGTTTTACTGACGATCGTTATTGGACAATTTTCAATATGCGATCAGGACATCAGAATTTATGCTTTCTATTCGCCAATTCCTGATGATGTTACTCTGTGAACAACAAATCTGCATTGAAATTGACAGAACTATTCAGAGTGGCAGCACCGCTAACGGCTAATGAACTAAGGTTCCATTCAGTTACATTATGATGCGTTCAGGCTCTGTTCAGTGAAAATGATCATTGGCCGAATGTAAATTAAACATTACCATGATGTGTTCAAATGTAATCTAGTAAAATGTAGTTAAAGTCAGAAACTTAAATAAATCCATTTATTTAGGGAACTGTTTGTACAGCAACCTAGAGCGTCATACTTTGAGGCTTTGGGCCACTGACCAAGCAACCTAATTTGAAGAGTTACGAGTGAGAATGTGTTGGGCCTTTAATGTGTAAAAATGTTACTGTAAAATATTTGATGTACTTGCAAAATAAATATAGTTTAGCTTTAGTTCTTACACTGACTGCTGTTACAGTTTAGTTCCCCATTTGGTGGTGTGTTAGTCACCACATATGAGTGACTAACACACCACCAATGCTGCAGAGATGTATGTGTAAACAAGCTTCAGTCACACAGAAAAATGCTGCTATCAGGAGAGCTACTGTACTCAGCACTGACCTGTGATTTTGGGGATGCCCTCCAGCGTGGGCACAGGGAAGGTGAGGATGATGCCTTGGCTGGTCCCCACCCACAGCAGGCCCTGGCAGATCAGCAAGCTGGAGACACAAACCTGACCTGGTGTACAAAGAGACATCAAACCTTTAACATGACCACCATTACTGCTGCCACAACAGGAATACAGTCCATGTTCACAGCGGTCTAAACCTGATCCAGGACCTACATAGTACATGTCAAAGTCCTGGAATCCTCCACAAGCATTTCAGTCATTTAATCTTTTTATAAGTGGGAGACGACGACATCTGGCGGGTGCAAAGTAACAATAAATGATTTACACAAACTATTGAAATCAGAAATCAGACTCCTCATTCAGTGACTGAATTAATCGTTATATACTTTTTGGCTACTGATGACATCACTGAGGGCTCTGCTAATGAGCTGCACTGCAGTCAGCATATAACACTTCATTACCTTTATTAGCTTGAAATTTCAAATGGTGTTCAGTAAACGTTTGTGTGGTCTTCTAACTAATAAATGTGATCTGAACATGGCACTATACTCTCTGTATATCCATCTGGTCTGGCCTTGCCTGGTGTCAGATGGGCGGTGCGGGTGGAGATGTTGACTTCCTGTAGTGGCTCCAGGGTCTCGGTGTGAAACAGGTGAATGGAGGAGCCCTGGGTGAAGGCCATCCAAACCCCCCCACCTGAACGAATCATGTGGCTAACACTGCAGCCTGGATCAGAGTGGGCTGTGAAGCTCTACAGTACAGAGAGGCAGAGAGAGGATCACCGTCTGCAGGTCATCTGTCAGCAGTAACTCAAGCTCAAATATGACATAGGGTTCTATGGAATCATAGTTGCGTCTTTTGGGGAAAACATTATTTTGTAAGCACATGAATCATATTTTGTAGAAACAAAAGAGAAAAAAATGTTTGCAATTATCCATATAAGCGTACAGTTAAAAACTCACTACATACATGTTGGTCCTCAGTCCCATTGCTATTAGGACAATAAGTTACTAGGGAAGCACGGATGAATGTAAAGTAAATGGAGATTTAAAAGTAGGGTTAATACTTCCTCTTTGATAATGCTTATAGTTGGGGCTGGCTCAGGTTTATAGTTGGGGCTGGTTCAGGTTTGCCTTGGACCAGCCCCTAGATAAGCTGCTACAGGCCTAGACTGCCAGGGGATATCCTAGGATACACTGAGCTCCTCTCTCCTCTTCTTCTGTATGAATTCATGTACCATTAATGCTCATTATTAGGGCCCGAGCAACCGACGTCGGGCCAGCGAAGGCTCTATTGAAATTGTAAGGGTTTATTTTTCAAATCTGGCTGCATTTTTGGAGTATTTGCCATACTCGAAAACTCACCAAATGTTGCACACTTGTCAGGTCTGGTGAAAATAGACGTGTGATATAGGTGCCATATTTGTGTGTAAACAATTTGGCTCTCTAGCGCCCCCTACAATTTGGACCGGTGACGCCCCTTGGCCAGTATGTCCGATTGACTTGAAATTCGACACAAATCCACTAGATCTACAAAAAAGCCTCTCAGACCCCTAAGCTCAGCCTACTTAGATTTTCCGCCATTTTGAATTAAGTGAAAAACACATTTTTGCGAACTCCTCCTAAACCCTACCAGAAGTCACCCATTTTGATTTTTGTGTCATTTGTCCATAGATTTTGGCCTATTTCTAGTCGCTTTACTTTAACGCACTCCTCCTAGGGAATTGGTCAAATCCACTTCAAATTTGGTCAGTACTATCTCAAGACCGTTGTGATTAAAAGTTATCAAAAGCTTTACGTTTGACGGAATGGCTTAGCCGTAGCGGGTGGCTACTTCACATGATTCCCCATGAAAAAACCTGATGTAACTCAGCTGGACTTGTTCCAAACGGTCCCAAACTTCCTATGCTTAATAACACTCATGCCCTGAGGATGTCTACTAGCTCATTTTCACTAATGCTCACAGTGCCACCTGCTGGCGCAAGATAATCTGTGTTTTCTGACTAACACCATCCGAATTACCTGACTTGTACACAATGTGGTTTACACTTGATATGAAGCAACATAATGCATGTTTGCGCGTCTTCTGTAGACAAGAAGTGGTGAACTATTTGCAAAGCATAATTTCCAGCATCAGGCAGTCCACACAGGATAAAAAACGTCAGACTCACGGCTTCGCTGTCCGACTATCGCGGACGTTCTCGGCCCCGCAGGCCGGAGTCCCGCCAGCACCCCCGACGTGCGGGAGGATGCGAGGGCCCGTTCATCGCTGCTCGCAGCTTTAATTACCATTATTATTAGTCACATTGCTATTAAATGGTACATGGACTTGTACTTGTACACCACTCAAAGTGCTTTCACACTTCATGTCTTCATTCACCCAATCACACACTTTCATACACCGCCGGCACAGCCTGCAGGAGCAATTTAGGGTGAAGTGTCTTGCCCAAGGACACATGGACATGGACTAGCGGAGCCAGAGATCGAACCACCGATCCTCTGATTGAAGGACGGTGCTCTACCACTGAGCCAGTCGCCCCTAC